AGGCTTCTTTCCACCCGCACCATTCGTCTTCTCCACATCCTCCTTCCCAGCCTTCTTCTTATCCACCACCTCCGTGCTCTTCAAATGCAACACCTGCCCATCCAACCCAATCTCATTGACCAAAAAGTCCGTATACCTCTGCTTCAGCACCCCCGTAAAACCCAGGTTATCCGGGCAGACATATTCGGTGATACCGGCGCGTACTTCGCGCTCCAGATCCGTGTCAGTGGTTGCTGGTGCCGAGAGAATCGAGGCCGTGGGAATCGGAGCTGAATTCGGAGCTGCGGTTGATGTGGTGGAGAGCGAGGGAGCGGCATTATCGTCGAGGCGCGCGCGTTTCGCGGGTCGCATGGATTCGTCTGACGGTTCAGACATATTTGCGCACGTGAGAGATGTGGTGATGTGGTTGTGTGGGAAGGGTAGGTTTTGTAGAAGGTTGAGCTGCGAGATTCTAGGCGGGGAAGTTTTTCCCGAGGACGTGCGCGCGGGGAGGTGAGTTTTGGCGAGGGCCTCACATGTTAACATGAACACTGTCCACATAATCTCACCCTGGCAGAACCTGTAATGAAGCTGTTCAGACTATTAGGGAGGATTCACAAGCAAAGGCGTCAGGTTTTAATAATATCACAAGATATCAATTCATCATCTATCTTATCAACTCGACTCAAAAGAAAAGGATCCGGCCCAAACTCCTCCATCCTGCCCAGGGGTATAAATAATGCTTCTCGACTTCATACAGCGTATCTTTCAAGCGAGTGTGACATTCCGCCTCTTACATGGGACAAAGACAGAACAACAAAATATACATGTTCGTTAAAAAAACAAGGTCCCCAAAGGGAAAAGAAGTGAAGAAGGTCGTCTAAGTCAATGAACATCCATCAAGGAATATCCACGTAGTGTTGTCGCAGAGGAAAGGAAGAAGTTATCTATGCCTGAGCGAAGATAGCAAGGGTAGCGCAGAAGTTAGAGCGGTTGTCCTCGTCCTTGGCTAGACCCTGACCACCCATGGTGATCATGTTAACGGAAGCCTTGGTGCTGAGACCGAACCAGTTGACGTTTGTCGAGTTGGCGATCTCGTTCATGTCTTGCTGGCAGTTCTGGCCGACGACGCAGTCTTGGTCGTAGTTCTGGAAGAACGAGTAGGTACCCGCGCCATAGGACCAGATGCTGTCGCTGCCGTCGGTGACACGGACGGCCCAGGCGGCCTTGGCTTGGCTCATGTCTGGGTCGAAGTACTTGTCGTTCTTGGTGAAGGGGACGGCGGCGGTGGGGTTGGGCTGGTAGTAGGGTGTCTCGGTTTGGATGGCGCCGTAGAAGATGTCCTTGGCGCCGGAGAACTGGTATTGAGACATTTGGGAGTGCTCAGAGGCGGTGCCGTACATCCAGACGGGGCCTTGGGATTCGACGAGCATGCCGCGGCCGTTGTAGATGTCGATCTGCGAGTGGTCGTCTTGGTCGAGCTCGTGGTCGGCGGTCCAGAGCCAGACGTTCTCGAAGTAGCCGTTGGAGTTCTTGGTGATGTGGAGTTGCATGAAGGAGCCGATGCACTCCGGGTTGGGCTCGTGGGTCGCGTCGGGGTTCTTCTTGCAGTTGGACGACTGGAGCTTGGTTCCAGCGTAGCCACCGACACGGAAGTGAACGTCCCAGAGACCGGCTGCGCCGTTCTCGGCGTTGATGTTCCACTCCATCAAGATACCACCGGAAGCAGGGCCCTGGGTACCGATGATGAGGTCGGAAGCTTCGAAGGAACCCTTGTCACCGCTCTTGGCACCAATCTGGAAACCAGGCTTGGGGTCGTCCATGTTGGAGAAAAACTCGCCGGTGATGAAAAAAGTGCTGTAAACCTCACCGACCATCTTGATGTTCTTCTCAGCAGGGACGACGACAGTCTTGGTGATAAGGTAGGCACCGTGGTCGACGTGGAGAACCTCGCCTTCCTGGAGACCATCGATAGCAGCCTGGATAGCAGCAGTGTCATCGGTAGCACCGTCACCCTTGGCACCCTTGGACTTGAGGCTGACGAACTTGGAAACGTCGACGTTCTCGTACTGGGGCTTGCTGCGCTCGAACCAGCCGTTGAGACCCTGGAGGCTCTGGGGCTTCGCAGGTGCGCCGTTGACATCGCCCTGAACACGGCCAAGCTGTGCGCCGGCAGCGAGAGCGTTACCCTGAGCCCAGGTCTCGACCTTCTTACCACCCGCAAGGATGGTGTTACCAGTAGCACCAATGACAGCCTTCTCAGAGCCAGTGAAGTCGCAGTTGTCGAGGATGAGAGTGCCGCCAGTAGTGGGAATGCTGTTCTCGGTGAAGGACGAGTTGATACCGATGGGAGTGTTGGTGAACTTGCTGTCGAGCAGAAGGACGGAGCCGACAGTCTGGTTGGCGGGGCTGTTGGCCATGTCAAGACCGACCTGGCAGTTGTTGATGAAGATGCTCTTGTATGTGAAGAGCCAGTTCCAGTTCTGGAAGATGGCGGTACCGCAGTCATTGAAGGTCATGTTGCGGATGGTGAATTGCTGGGAACCCATGAAAGCACCGATGGCACCACCGTTGAAGGTCAGGTCGGTCATGAAACCACCGGAGCCGTTATCCTGGAAAATACCCTTCTGGTCCTTGCCAGCGTCACCCTTGGCCATCTCGAAAACGATGTTCTGGAGACTGGTAGCTTGGGAGACCTGCCAGTGGATACCAGCGGCAGCCTTGGTAGCGGAGATGTCGATGACGAAGTTGCGGACCTGGCGGTAGAAGTTGTTCTGGTTGGTGTACCAGTTGGCGCCGTCGCCGCCTGGGATGTAGGGATCGGCATCGATCAAACCCATGCCCTCGAAGTCTGCGGTGGCCTTGAGGATGGGCATGTTCAATGGGTCGCCAACGAACTGGGTGTAGTAGTATTGGATGATGGGCTTGCTGATCATGTAGGTACCGGCGGGAAAGTAGATGAGTGCCGGTGTGGTGGTGGTGGAGTCGCAGCCCTCGCCGCAACGCTCGCCGTCAGCGATGATCTTGTTGATGATTTCGGTATCGTCGGTGGACCCGTCACCCTTGGCACCAAGCTCCTTGACATTGCGGAAGACCTTGTAGGACTCTGGGTTGGGGTTGAAGGGGGCCTGGCCCTGGCGCTTGATGGTCTCGAGCCAGTAGCCGGAAGCACCACCTGGTGCTGCCGGTGCCGGTGCTGCTGAGGGAGCTGGTGCTGCTGATGGGGCTGGGACTGGTGCGTATGAAGCAGTAGGTGCTTGCGCAACGGGCACAGCAGTGGAAGGAGTGGCGGAAAGGAGGACGCGCAGCGTCAAAAGAAGCGCTCCAGCGCTAAAGGCAACCATGATGGCAGTGCGTTTGTTGAAGTTCGGAGTTGCTAGTTGGAAAAGTCTCGACTTGAAAGACTGGAAGTATCGTTGTCAGTTGACCGGCAAAGGACGTTGATAGTGTTGGATAGTCGAGTAGAAAGATTGCAAGTTTGCAGAAGTGGTGGTAAGGTTGGCTAGCAACGAAGGAAGAAGAAAGTAGTAATGTTGTTGTGAGAAGATGACTCTACACAATAGAAATGAATGACAGAGAACAATAAGAACTGACGGCACACAATGAGTGCTGGTAGCTGACAATCGCCTGCGTGAAGGGAAAAAGTGAATGGGGGCGCCGCCGCATAGTATATGTACAGCGGTTCATTCAGGAAGGGGACTTACAATAGGATCGGAGCGCCAATCAACGTTGTCGAAACGCCTTGTTTCAAGTTTCGGGTAGCCGGGGTGTGATGTTCGCTGTGCTGTGCTCGATTCATGTTCCCCGGCATTCAGTAGGCATTTTATATCCTCGTCGTCGCTGTGATACCCACGCTCTTTTGCCATCTCTTCATCGTGGGCGTTCATCCTGCCCGATTCACAAAGCAGTCCCTCATCCTCCCTTGCCTCCTGACGACCGCTTGCGGCCATGTTCTGAAGCCGCATTCCACGCCCGCAGACAAGTGCCGGCTCGTGGTTGCGTGCCTGTGACCCTGCCGGCGTCGCGTGCGTCCAAAATTACCTAGGGTCTCCACTAGCCAGGCCCACAAGACTGTACCCGTTGTATCCCTTTCTCCGCGTGAAACAAGCGGGAGACGATGGCCAGTGAGTGGATGGGGAGGTTAGAAGGCGGCGAGGCGAGCGTTTGTTCCTGAAGGGAAATCAGGGATGTGGTTGGTAGCGCCACAACCGATGCCCGCATGTGAGACGGCGCTGAAACGCCAGGCCATCGACAGGCCCTCGCTCGCCCGCCGCGCAGATAAAGCATTTGCCAGCGCGTCAACGCCACGCGCGATTTTCTCTGCAATTCGACGCGACGGCCCGGCAGGAGATCGTGGATACACTGCGATGCGCCGGGCTCCATCCAAGAGGCGCTTGAGAGTCATGCCAAGATGTGGTGGACGGCATTGTACTCGACCACGTCGTCGCTGTTCGCCTCGGCACGCGCACATGGGCATCATGGACATGTTGCCTCCACATGCCGATAACACACAGACATATAGCAGATGGTGTCATTCATGAGCGTTGTGCGCAACATAGCACGAGCCTTGCGGACAAAAAAGCTCGAACCGAACACCACCCCGATCGCTATCCTGGACGTGATGGGTTCCGAAAGTTTCTTTTGCACCAGTGCAAGACATCGACTATGGCGTTACCACGCTATGCTGTGATGCATCGCCGCCTAAGGTTGCATACCCAACGGTGACTGTGTTTCGCGCCGCCACCGGATATACTGCTTTTCATTTCCTTCAGGATGTTTTTGTGGGGCCTGGGGACGTTTCGACGCGATCCCGAACGCGCAGATCCCTCATGCTTAACGCAACCTCTATTACCGGATCTCGACGAATAGCGTTGTGCAAGACCAGAATCACATGATATGGTCCCTACAGTCGTGGAAGTTTCTGCGTGATCTCTGTGTGATCTAGATTGTGGCTGATAGGGTGCTCTTCACTTCGAGACAGCGATCTTCCATCCCATTCGCCATTCCTTCCCTCCGCTCAATCACCACAGACCCTTCGCGTCTTCTTCTTGAGCAGCCGCCTTCTGAGTTGCCTGTCCTCCATTGGCCTCTTCCTTCAACATGCGGTTAATGACCGTGGCGAGTCTTTCAATACCCTCTGCAAGCATATCTTCTTCTTCCCACTAGCAATGGATTAGTATCGCTTCGGAGACCCAATCGAGGAGTATGTACTGACCGCAAAACAAACCCTGATGTCGTTGCTGAATGACGTGCCTTCATGGCCGGTGTCGCCGGGTACCTGAATCTGTCAGTTGGGCGCACATGGCTGCGGAGCAGCATACTCACTTCGAACATTTCGCCCTACACAAGCGTCGTGGTTAGCTTTACCCATGATCTGGACTCGGGACGTGGACGTAATCGTGGCTTGTACTCACCTGTGCGACGGCTAGGTTCTCTTCTTCCTTTGCGCGTTGTGCTACCACTGCGCCTTTTAGCGGCGATGGCAACGTCAGCCAGATGAAGTAGCCGCCGACGACCTCGCGATCGGTTTGGGGGAATGTCAACGCCCAGTGGAATGAGGTGTTTGTTGATGGCTTCTACCATTCGGCGGTACCGATTGCCGTAGGTGGGCTGAAGTCGGTCGTACACGTAGCGTTGGAGCTCTCCTGTTTCCAGTGTCTCGGCCACAAAGCAGGCTGTCAGCTGGCTGGGTGCTCCGCCCGAACGGCTGGATCCTCTGGAACACGTTAGCTGTCATGCCGGATGGAGCGAGACATCGTTGTGACACCATAACCTCAGATCGATCTGAGCCCGATGGTTTCGATCTCGGGTATCTCAGACGCGGCATGAGTGATAGCGCATGGCGACAGAGACAGATGACGAGATCTCCAGAAAATATGCTTACGTTTGCGAAACACCATACGCCATCTTGGGCGTTCCTTCACACCAACCCGTACGCAAACCAGGGCCGAAGATCTTGGAAAACGATCCATTTGAGACTGCATTACCGAAGCCATCTGCGCCATGTCTTTCGGCGCCGCCGTCCAGGTATCTATCGATGTCGACAATCCGGGGTAAACCGGCCTTCTCGATGGACAGCGTACTAGGACTGAGACTTGACGGCCATTGCAGGAAGTCATATACGTCGTCTGTAATGATAAGGGCATCGTACTCTCGCGCCAAACGTACCAACTCCTCTCTACGCTTTAGACTCATAGTCTTGGAGCTGGGATTGGAGAAGCCTGGAACCGCGTAGATGACATGTTTGTAGATTTTATTTGAAGGCCTTGGAGGTTTGAATTGCTGGCAATGTTAGTAGCCAAACCGCGGTGTATACCCCGACATGTAGTCGCAGTAGATTTCTATGAGACAAGATCATGGTAGACGTAAGAAGGTCTCAGACCGTCCACGTATTGACAGCGACTCACCGGCTCATTATTACTCTCAGATCTCGCCCTCTCCTCACTCAGCTTGATCTGGCTCCTCAGATACGCCATATCAATCCCGTCCTCATCCTCAGGCACGGCCCTCAGCTTTTTGTGGAACCCAGCATCCTCGAATATACGGAAAGCAAGCATATACGCCGGAGCGACGATCCACACATTCCGTGTATACACCGGATCTGTAAAGTCCTGAAGCAGGCAAGCTAGATTCTGCGAAGCCCCACCAGAGATGCATATGCGGTCTTCGGATACCGGGTCCGCGGGCTTATAGAATGTCGTGAGCCATTGCGCAATATTGTTCTTCAGCCGCGGGTCACCTGAATCGGGTCCATAGCACATGGCTGGGTACGCAATGGGCTTCTTCTGGAGGACATTGTGGGCTGCTTTGTCGAGAAGTTGCGTTGGGAGTAAAGACACGTTTGGCCATCTGGTGCTGTTAGCGATTACTCTATTGGCCGCGTAATGTCCCAAAAGGGTAGCGGGTTTGCATGAAAGGCATGGGCACGTGCCCTCTCAGCAAATTGATCAGCTTCTTGGAGCTAGTCTTGGAGCCGACGACGTCCGGCAGGGCGAACGTCTTGAGTATCTGGTCCGCGATAGTTTGGCCGCCGCCCATATTGGATTCTGTATTGGATGCTGATGAAGCCGTGGCGGCGTCGGAACACGGCTGCGTACCGAAGTGGCTGGTGCGCAGTTATGGGGCGGAGTGGACTCAGGCCGGCAGTAATAACGTGAGCGTGCCGCGATTATATCAGATGCGAAGTTCGGAAATAAGTCTGCTGGCAGCAATTGAAGGAAGCGTGCATGCGTTTTGTCAATGCCATGCTCATACCAACGTAGGGCGCGCCTCCAGCACGTGTATGACAGCCATGAGGCCTAGGGTGGACGCTATCGATTAGGGATGGTACGTCATCCGCTCGCTAAAGACCTCATCGATGCGGCCGGCGCTGTCAATAGTTCTACCGATGCTGCAAATGGTCACGAAAACACGACATGTCAGCTGCAGCTGAATAAATTCACTCGTGGCAGTATCGCACAGTTTTCTTCGACCGTTACACATTTGAAGGCCGGGCAACTCGAAACAGTCGTCTCTGGCACGACACGGCTGCGCATGGATCCGCTTCCAGCTTCCGTGGATGAGGTGGGCCTTGCCCGCAAGATGCCCGCAGCATGCCCGCAGCATGAGGCGCAGGTGCTGCAGGTCACAGCCAGCGCTGGCAAAGGGTCTTTTGGACGTCAAAGAGGCCGCTGAGTGGCCGGCCGGCCATACCAAGGTGTAAATGCACCCCAAGGCGTCAGAGCAAAGCCAATGACAGATGTAGAGAACGACCCACGTTGTGGCCACCCGACCTTTGACGTTACTCGTGCACTAGCATGGTTACGACACTGCGGATCTGCGACAGCTCAAATATAGATCACCTAAACACCTAGTCCCTTCACTAAGCTTTTCAGTCCCTTTCGACATATACTAACTGACCGGTGCCCGGGGCCCTGCATGTGTGGTGCTCGTGTTTGCTGTTGTGTCAAACCCATGTTGCGGCGCGCATAGTATATTTTCCTACGCTTCACGATACCCCAACTCTTGCTCCTCCCGCGCCGCATAGACAACTACTAGATCGCCTCGCCATGCTGGGAGACAAGAAGAAGTCAGCTCGTCGGCTGTCGAGTTTGTTCGGATCGTCTGGGTCGTCCGAGCCGTCAGGGTCTACGAATAATGCGAAGTTGAGCCCAACCCCTGCGTCATCAGAGTCCAGCAGCCGCTTGACCAAAGTGCGCAACCGCCTCTCTTCAGCGACACACCTCACGCCCGAATATCCTCCACCCGCCGCTCAGTCACCACGCGCGGTGTCCCTCTCCAACCCCACCATCCAGCCGGTCGTGCCTGCCGATCTTGAGCCCCTCGAGCCACCGCCGCCGCTGGAGGTGCCGTCGCGCGCATCGTCACCAGCGAGTAGCCGACCCGGAACGCCGAGCTTAGACCCATCCGAAGGAAAACTGAAGAAGCTGCGCAGGAAGAGCGGTCTGTTTGGCGGCCCACCCGGCGGCATTGAGGGAGTAGACGCTACTTCTGGAGCACCACAGGGCAATGCGAGCCCGCTGGCATGGATCGTCGGACACAAGGGCAAGGTGCCATATAACCTGACGTTCTTGCTGAACGGCGAAAAGGTAGTCTGCGGCTGCTCTCAGAATATCATACCAACGCTGACAAGATGAAAGGTCCCTGAACTCTGGGACGACGCTGGAGACACGTTTGTCTACCTCTTTCCCCGCACCTCTGACAAAGGCCCTTCCTTCCGCATCGACTCGTCCGTATACGCAGCATCGCACCTGCTCACTCGTCTCGTTCATGGCAGCCTCTACAGCGACGCAAACGTACCCCCGCTCGACCTGACCGACCGCACATCGCGACGCGTGTCACGAGAGCCATTTGGCGAACAGTCGCGGACTGCATCGCCCGACCAGAGCCAGATAGGAAGCTCGGATGAATCCATATCCAAGGGGTCCAGAGCGCTAAGCGACGCCCTGGAGGACGAGTACACGGAGAAGCATCTGTACATGCCCATCTCCCTGAGCTCAGACTCTGCTATCACCCCTCACGAGCCCCGGCTCGACGCAAACGATACCGACACTTTGGTCACCTACCGCAACTTCTTCGCCTTCCTCATCGGACAGTCGCTGGTCGCTACCGAGCGTCACTCAGACATCTTCGACATCTTCCTGCGGATTGGAGACATACTGTCGCACTATGCCTTCTCCAACGTCGATGGATCCACCTTTGGCGAGGTCGCTGCGTCGAGCTTTGACTGCTATGTTGATGAGTTGACCCTCGCAGACGTCCGCCACAGCCGCGAGAAGACCATAGAAGCCATTGTGCTAGGAGAAAAGTTGCGCTCGATGGCACTATACACCGAGGGTTTCGTCCACGCTGCCGGAAAGTACAACAGCGTCAAAGAACTCGACTCGCCTAAATTTGGCATGATCAGCCCAAAGAGTTCTACGCGACTTGCCCGAGCTGCTATGGATCTGGAAAACCGCGAGCAAACCATCAATCACAAGCTCAAGGACTTTGAGTTTCCGCATATCTTTTCTGGCATTATGAACAGCGCAATGGCAAGCGAGGGCAAGGTCATCAGCTTCAAGAAGTGGAGGAACGCCTTCATGACTATCAAGTCTTTCGTCATGGACTACTACAGGCATAAGTACGGTTCGTGGCTACCAAAGGCCAAGTCGAAGAAGAACAACCTGACTACAAGTGGTCTTAACCGACTGGTCTTACTAGAGATCTATCGCGACATGGCTAGTCTGTATGATCTCCTCGTGGACAGGAAGAACTTGACAAACCGCACTGCGGATGGCTTTATCGCAGAGGACGAAGGAACAGACATCGAGTCCGTTGTCGCGCGTGCGCTGAGGAAGGTTCTGAGCGAATACGACCGCAGCACACCACCAGTCGCGCCACCGATTCCTTTTGACCTACCACTCTACCCCATCTCACAGAATGCGAAGACAGGCGACGCGAAGAAAGACGCAAAAGCGCGTGGGAAGAAGCTGCACAAAGACGAGGTCGCCAAGCTACTGAAGCAGTCGCACAACGCCGATGCCGAGCAACAAACACCCTTCCTAGAAGCATTCCGCACATTCGAGTTCAAACAAGCCACCGGCTCAAACATGGACGACATGTGGGACATGCGATCAGGACAATGGCTCTTCCTATACGCCGTAATCCAGTCCCTACCCATGTTAGTCGTCGACGCACCCGGCGTGCGCTTCACCGAAGGCGTAGAATACTTCCTCTGCGAAGTCCCACGCAGCGGCGTCCCCTGGGCCCGAGAAGACACAACACGATCGCGTACCTGGTTCGGCGTCGCAGGCGGTGCGCAAGTCGTGTCCTTACCCACCGACGTCGTCGAGCACGGCGTCGAAGGCACATTCCGCCGCTCACACTGCTGGAAGAAGGCTCAGCAGTGGGCTGCAGACGATACTTTACTCAACGCCGCGATGCAAGAATTGAATGCGAATGCGAGTCCGTTACCGCCACCACCTGGTCTTCTCGATCCTGGTGCGGCTGCTCGTGCGCGGAGTCAGAGCCCGGATCGAAGGCGGGAAAGCGTTATGAATTTGGGGTTGGAGGCGTTGCCGCTGCCGCCTGGTGTTGCGCCGCCGATGCCCATGGGCTCCCCTTCGCTACGTCCTGCATCGAATCACGATCCTAACAAGACTTTCGATGATATATTAGGAACGTCGGCGTCGGACAACGGGAAGAAGAACAAGAAGAAGAAATGAGGTATCGACAATGAGGGATGGGAAATGGGGTGGATGGGGCTGGATTTGATGCATAAAAGCGCTTGTTTTCAGCATTGGCCGGTTTCTTGTCATGATTTACAGCGTTCTTGCATGGACGCGCGCGGCTGTTATGTAATGTAGAATGCGCGAAATGTAGAGGCTGGATATAGAGCCTGATGTCTAGTATCTAGAGATATCCATGGATGAAATGAACCTATCGCGCTTATCGCTAAGGGTGGGTGGGGGAGGCGGAGGGGCGGTGGAGGCTATCATCACTACGAACTTGTCTGATACAGAATGCACTGATATTGTGAAGGCTGGCCTCGTATTATGCTTGATGCTTAACAGTGGCTATTGCATGGTACCTATCGCAGCTGTGGAGCTTGTCGCTAGTTCCCGCTTCGCATTATCGCCGATATCGTCGCGCCCTACACAATTATCCACACGAACACCCATCCTCGCAAACCAGCGGGCTTTTGAAGCTTGCTTTGCTTCGATCGCGGTTCCCACACCTTCACATTTCGTCAACATGACGTCCTCGCTACCCGGCAACCGTGACCTGCCAGTCTCGCAGTTCAATCTAGGGACGTACTGGGGTCGCGTGCAGCACTCAGCAAACATATCAGATCCGAGGTGAGATACTGCGCGCGTGGGACGATGATGTTTCTTTGGGGATACTGGGTGTGGTGAGTACCACGACCTTGAGCTTTTCCATTGCTTGTTCAGATCTCTACTTCCGGTATACAGTCATCGCTAACAAACGCGCAACAGAACCCTCCTCACCTCGTCGGCCGGCCTCGAAAATGCGAAGAAACTCGTTACCGCATACAAAACGGGCAAGATACTAGAGATGACGCCCGAGCTGTGGAATGCGAAAAAGATAATCGATTCTACCATACATCCAGGTACTGCAATCGGCGCGGTCGCATGCTGAAGGGGAGACGCTGACAGAGTGAAGACACGGGCCAGCCAGTCTTTCTGCCTTTCCGCATGTCATCCTTTGTCTTAACCAACTTGGTTGTCACGGCTGGCATGCTTACACCGGGTCTTGGGGTATGAGAAGCTATTGCACTAGGAATGAGCGGCATACTGAGTGTGTACAGACAGCGGGCACACTAGGATGGCAAGTTACGAACCAGTCGGTCAACGTCGGAATCAACTTCTCCAACGCGAACAAGTCGATCCCGCTCTCTACGTCGACAATCGTCCAATCCTACCTCCTTGCCGTCAGCGCATCATGCGGTGTCGCACTCGGTCTCAACGCGCTGGTGCCCCGCCTCAAGAGCCTGTCACCCAACGCGAAAGTTATCGCCGGGCGATTGGTACCTTTCG